TATGATGCCCCTAAAAAATAAAAAAGGAGGGGGGTCAGGTAGGCTTGGGCAATAAAAAACTAGCCTGGTACATGATGAGTGTGAGATGTCTAAATAACATTCAAGTCCAGATAGTCGATAAATAATTAGTATGTATTCCAAAACTGGGTGTAAAGTCTGAATTAAGATACTGATTACAGTGTGTAATAACGTGTTTCTTCCTACCACAGGAAGAAAAAGAGTAGCCTTCAAAACAATGAGACTAAAGCAAAGTTCAGAGATAGAATTTAAACCAAATCAGAACCTCAGAAACATTAGCATTTTTTTAAAAGGCCAAAATGAGACAATACAGGAAACAAAGAAGAAAATTAGAAGACAACTTTATCTTAGAAGTCAAAAGAATTGAATTTTTAAAAAGGACTACCAATAATGTCAAGTGCCAAAGAGAGGCAGGTGAGATAAAAATTGGAAATGATCCGTGCAGTTAACAATCAATCAGTAAGTAGTATGGAGACAGTACTAGAGTGAACAGGAAGTGAGAGGATCTGGAGACACAGTGAATGTGGACTATTTTTCCAAGAAGCCTGACTGCAAAGAAAATGAAGGTCAGGGAAGAACATGTATTGTACCAGAAGGAGTTGAGGGTCAAAGAAGTATTTTGTTTGCTTGTAAAGTAAAAGACTTAGGTGTATTCACATGTTTAAAGGAAGAAGCCAATGGTTGAAGAGTGAGAAAATATCTGATTGAACATCGTCTAAATATGAATCATAAAGGTTCTTACCCTAACCAGCAAAAATAGTAAATTAACAAACTTGAATATGAGAAGGGTTTTTCTTTCTCAGGGAAGAAAATACAGATGTACAAATAAACAGGTGTTACAAATGGCAACAGCACATCATGGAAAGCCTTATATGGCATAGTAAAAAAATTAGGCTTTTATTCAGTGGGCAATCTAGAGCTACTCTATTTTGCCATGTATAATGCACAATTTTTGCCTAAATTTTTGAGAAAAAAATAAAGATGCACATTCTACATGGGTAGTATACGAGATACCTTGAATCAGTTCTTGCATTTTGTAATTATTTGTTACATAAAATTTCTTGTACCATAATATTTTTCAAAATAAATGCCAAAATTATTTTATAATACAAAAAAACAAGTATCTAAATATAAATGAATGAAAAAGTGAATTAAAAAATTAAAATGAAAGATTTTTTTCCTGAAAGTTTCAGCCAAAAACATGGGTGTGCAGTATACACAGAAGTACATTATACACAGCAAAATATGGTACTGTATTTGAAAGCTTTAAAGGAACAGAGTAATAAGATAATGTCTATTAGGGGAACAGGGGCAATCACCAGAGGGTTGAAGTAGCCATTGTGAAAAAGAAGCTGACCTGAAACACCTAAAAACGTGCCAGGTATCCAAGAGTAGAAGTACTCTGTATCTTCACTTGTCTTTTCTCTTAGTGATACGCAGCTATTCAAAGATGATCTGGCTGACACATCACAGGTCCCCTGGTTCCTCACACAGATTACTTTTCTTTACTGATTTGTTATTGTTATGGGCCACCCTCAAAACAATGGTTTTGGTCTATATTCCTCTTCCTCTGATCATTAAGGAAAATAATATATTAGCAATTTATTCTAGCATTTTCCATTCTTCACACTTTCCTCCAAAACTATGAATTGGTAGGAAAAATAAAACATTATGTAATACAAAAGAAGAAATTTTACAACAGTAAAAATTTTAGGGACAAAAATAGTCTCTCATGTAATAATAAATTTCCAATCTGAATTCAAGGTCAAATTACTGTCAGGATTTAAATAATAGAATTTGAAAATACCTACTGTTTCTTTACTAATGTAACAAAAGAGGTACTTCCCAATTCATTACCTTGTTATAAAAGCACTTTCATATATTAATGATAAATTATACAAAACAATCAATAAATTTGTTTGAGTAACACAATATTGAGGTATGCAGAAAATGAATTAAACCGGTATCTGCTTCTCCACAATTGTACTAAGTGCTGATAATTCACATCATCACTATTATGTTATGCATATAACAGGAAAAAAAATTCACTTCCCAATGTCAGAATGATTAAATAAGTCACTGTTGGGAGATACTCTATCACTGAAATGTAGAGTCAAAATAATTCAAAATGGAGATGACATTCTGCAAAACTATCCTTTAAAACAGACTTTTACTTAATTAAAAATTATAGGTGATTTAGGCCAAGTCTGAGTTAAATTACTTTTTATATCACCATACTAAGCATAAGGAGATTGTTGGTTCTAAATGAATTTCCTCACTTGTTGTTGAATTGTGCATTAGAATACTGAAAGAATTCCACCAAAGCAAACTATTGTACCTTTGACTAAAAGAACAACATTGAGGAGGAAGAAATCAAATGAAACCAAATGTCACCTCCTAATTCATCCTACCCCTCCATGTCCCCAATCCTCCCACTACCACATCTTTAAACAGAAGCACACAGTAAACCACTGGGTATCTAAGTATAAGCCATACATTCTCTCACATCAGTGGGAAAGCAAACCATCACCCCTTGACCAACGCCCTACACCACCCCTCAACTGAAAACTAGCTTCTTCCCAGAAAACTTCCTAAATGAAGGGGGGGAGAGAAAGGGCCTCCTTTCCTCCTACTCGTTTTGCCTCCATCTATATGCCTTCTGTCTCCCTCACTGGCCTCAGGGTTCTTCAAGGGCAAAGATATAACCTATTGCATTTTACTGTTGTTTAACTGTATGCTTTCTCCATTAAATCACAAACTATGAATCTTTTCTCCAACTTGCTTAGCACTGAATCCCAAAAATAAGCTGATACCTGTTAAATGAATTGCTCATTGTTTAATACTCTTACAATACTGGGACAGCACAAAGCTTTCATTAACTGTTCACTAAATAAATGACCCAACTGAACTTTTCAATCACTTTTCTAAGTCAATTTTGAATGGTAGTGGTTGATGTCCAAACTTTTAAAAATGCCCCTTGTGAATTACTTTCATCTATAACACTAGAACAACCAGTCCTACAATCATAGCTAGTAATTCTTCAATACCTGAAATAAGTGAAATACACGGAATAAGTCATTGCTGAGGGCTTTTGGTTGTTTAACATGCCTCTCTGCTATTACTAGTCTCTTACTATAGCAATATTACAACTTCTCTAGGAAGAAAGTTTCAAACTGGAAATTTCCTGGCCTAAAACTAGATTTAAAGGCTTTTAAATCCCTAATAGCAATACACACATGGTTACCCAGTAGAGGAAATTTCCTCTGTGAATTCAGCAGGTCAAAAAGTAAAAACAAAATAATTAAACTCTGGGAAGAATTTAATGATTTCCCAAAGACATTTTTTCTTTCAGCTAAAACTGTGTAAAATCATGCCATACATAAACTTAATACAATAAAATGCACTTAGTACCCTCAAAACATTTCATAGTCTTCAAACCAAATCCTCACCTAACCAGCAGCTCACTCACGTACATTTCCAAAGAGATACGTAAATGCACTAAATAGCTTACAAAATAAAGAAGTTATATATTACTCTCTCATAATACCAGAACACAATATTTAAATGCTTAAAGCTATTTAAAACTTTTCCTATGTAAAACAATTTAATACTTTTTCTTTTGGACTTGCTCTTGTTCAACAATAAAAATTTTTATTTTTTTTAAGCACTGGAATGGTTATACGTTTCACAAAAATTATTCTCATCATAGACACTGAAACTGAAATACGCGATACCGAATCCTCCAAATAGAGATTCGCTTTACACTTAACTGATTATAAGAAGAAATTTACTTTCTATTTAGAATCTCCATACGCTTTCATTACTCCTAAAAAGAAACCTGTCCAGTTCTATTCCCTAAAGAACCCTACATATTCCAAAGCAAATAAACCAAAGAACCCTGGGATGCCTCAGGATCACCAAAGTCAGGTAAGTTATCACAGGTATTGTTGCAAAATAAATTAACACTGCTCCAGAGCTGAGTGACACCTCACCAGCTTTTCCCGAGATTTGTTGGGAAACCACAGAAGTAAAGGCAGAAGCCACAAACACTGAAGATTTCGCGGCAAAAGAGCTAAATTCAAGGGCTAAACAAGAGCTAACAAACACTAGTTCTGCCCTTCCCGGAAGGTAAGCTGAAATGTATTGGAGGACCAGGGAGACGTCTCCTATTAACCTACCACTATCAATTCTGGAACTGACGCAGAGCTTTCCTGCCCGCCCGCGCGCTGGGGTCTCAGCAAACACAACCGGGTAAGTCACAACTAGAAGACTTCATGGACTTCTCCGCCTCCCTAGCTCTTGAAGTACTTGCCAGCGACCAACAAACCGGACAAAGAGGTAGGCAGCAACACCCAGGGAGAGGACCGCGGGCGGGCTCCACCCACTCCTTCCTCGGAGGCCGGAGGGTGCAGGCTGGGAGAGTAAACGTCTCTCAGAACCGCGTCCAAGGACCTTCGCGACGCTGCTCGCCTCTTCTCGCAACCCACTGCTTCTGACAGCCGGCGAGGGCGTTGGACGCACTAGCGCCAGTCTCAGAGCCCCCATTTCTAACACAGACCAGAGCACTCTCTAAGGTCACCTCGCACCCACGCCCTCCCAGACAACGCCCGTCGGCCTTCGGGGACCAAGGACAAGCGCCAGAAGCAGGCAGTAGAACCGGCAATAACGCGGACAGCACCAGGAGGCGCCCCCGCGGGACCGCAAGATGGCGGCGGCGGCAGGGCCGGGGCCCTCCGCCGCGGCCAGGCCAGTGCGCTCACCAAGGCGCAGGCCGGCAGAAGAGGAAAGAAGGCCCGACGCTGGGCAGGCCTTCCGAGGGCCGAAGAGCAGGCGGCCGCTGAAGAAGGAAAGTGCGGGGGTGTGGGGGAGGGGACACTCACTCAGGCCCCAGGTGCAGACATTCCCTCCACACCCGTCATCCACTCTAAATCGAGCCCTCAGCCCGTCCTATCCCAATCAGGCACTGCCTTCTTCCGGCCTACCTTTGAATTTGAGGTCTGTGGGAGGGTCGAGGACCAGGATCTGCTCGTGCTTCGCCATGGCCCCAGAAGTGGACGCCATCGGAGAGACAGCGCAGAGCGGGGGCGCGCCCGCTGCGGCGGTTTGCTGGCTGGGGACGAAGGAAGACAGCAGCGACGGCCCCCACAAACTCTGTGACCGGGACACTTCAAGGCTCCAGCACACAAATGCCTGCAGTTAAGGCGCGGGGCTGGTGAGACGCCTGCTAGGTCAGCAGCTCCGGGTCTCAACTGACTCAACCCCACACCAACCACCGCGGCCACGCGCACTGCGATCCACGGCGTCCCACGTGACGACTTCTGCGTGCCTACGTGCGCGCCCCTACAGCCGGGAGCCCCCAGTGCTCCTCCCGCCCAAGAATTCCGCTCTACGCGGAGCCGGCTAGTGCGCCTGCGCGCTCTTTGGCCTCACCGCCCCTGGGAGTACAGCTAGGTGTCAAGTGGACGAGTGTGGACGTGGGGGCGAAGTTAAGCCCCTTGGGACCCTTGCGCGCGTACCGCAGGGCAAAAGGGCACAATCACCGATCACGTCTTAGAGGCTAATAGTACGAAACTGGAGAACAAGTTATGGCCGGGCACCGCCATCTTCCGAAGGGGAATGCCAAATAAAAGGAAGGAGTAGTCCCACTCACTCACTACAACTCCCGGCATGCTCCGTACAGGGCGGAGATTCCGCCCAGGTCATGGTCCATTTGCGGCACTGCGCGATGCTTGCTGGGTATTGTAGTGTTTGTGGGAGGGGGATGAGAATGAGGTCTCTTGGTGGTAAATTGGGTGAGGTTTGCAGACTCCCTCTGAGCGTCTCGTTTGCGCTAAAAAAAAAAAAAATAGAAAATGTAGAAAACATGCCGGGATTTTTCTATTTGCTCTCTAATTCTATCTGTTCCTCTACTGGTAGAGATAAATTCTCTAGCGTATTCCAATCTTACCAGCCCTGCTTCCTGAATTTTCTCTAGTGATACAAAAGCTGATGAGGAAACACACCTCGTTTGAGAAGCAAACGCGTCGTTGGGGATACCTGACAAAACATTCGTATCAACCTAAAAATAAAAGTCAAAATCTACAGCGTTCAGTTGTAGTCTATTCTGAGTTCTGGTTAGTGAAAGACCCAAACCAAAACAGCTGCCAGGTTCACATATTCCAAATTAATTCCATCTGCATCACTTACAGTAGCATGTAGTCAAACTCAAACTAAGTCAAATGAGAAAAATGTCAAATGAGAAAAATCGCAGCAGCGAAGTTGCTGACAAGTCTTTAACCAATTGCCAAGATTCTCGGACACAAGAACATTAAATGAAATAAAGGAATGTGCTGTAGATAAACCTTTATAGTACTACCTGAATTTAAATCCCTAGAAGCGGCACGAAACAAAGCACAAATTGGTGCTGCTGCCATTGAGGAGCAGCCCGCTTTGTCCAGAAAATAGATGAGACAAATGGAACAGTAGTCTAGGCGTGGACACAAAGTCCAGGATTTCATATGCAATCCAGGTGTTAGAACCCATCTGGGAATAGCTCTCGGGAATAGCTAGCCTAGCATCCACAGAAGACTGTGCTTGCTATACATGACTGATGAATGTATCTTCAGCCATGAAAAACCTCAGAGGATAAGAGTGCTTAAATAACGTGAAAAGCATATTCCAAATTTACTTTGATTTCTTTTTATTCACAAAATTTCTTTTGAAATTTCAATTATTAAAATCAATAAAAATTGCATATTTATAAAAAAGGAACAAGATTTTTTATGTTTAGAGTTACTGTTATTCACCACGTATAATTCATACTTTTGCCCAAATATTTTAGGGAAAAATAAGAATGCGCATTATTCACGTGTGTAATGATTACATGCCATGGGTATAATAATCCCATGTATGATGCACACAAAAATGTGGGTGAGCATTATACATGGCCAAAATACAATAATCTCAAGTTTGGTTATCACTATTGTGTTAGTTGTATTTTTTACATTACAATTTATCCCCTTCATACCCTCTCCCTCATGGATCACACTGTGGTCCATGTCCATGAGTACTTTTTCCTTTTTGCTCGATCAAGTTGAGGTTGACATTCATGCCACAGGATGGTGTCCCACATATATTTATTTGTGAACTGACAAGCCTAAAACTGACACAAACTCCCTTTTTTCCCCTTGCCTAACAAATCTTATCCACGGGCAAGTTAGCCTTGGCTGAACTGGCTCCTCCACAGCTAAATGGACACTTCTCTTACTAGAAGCATAAGGGAATCCCCAGTCTGCAAACAACCAATTAGCAGGTACAGCATTCTCAGAAAGTCACCAGTCACTCTAGGGGACAATGGCTGCCCATTCACCCTGAGTTCAATATGAAGGTAAAATTGGATGTATTCCAGTTTCCCAGTCTATCATGAAGAAACCTCTGCTCATGTAAGTCATCATCTTTGGAATCAACTTTTTCTCTTCTCAATATTGCTTCAAAAATCATATAGGTAGAGTCTTAATATCTACATAAATTTAAATACGTAGTAGTCTAAGAATACATGAAATGTCTTTGGAATAATTCTCCTATTCAGTTTTAGAGCATTGCATTTGTAATGACTCAGAGCCCTCCTGAATCATCTACCCATCATTAAATAGTGCGCTATTTCAGTGGTTTGTGCTTCGGTATTTATTAAGACCTTCCGAATAACAGTTCAAAGAACTTTATAAACATCATCACGTGCTACTCAAAATAAAATTGTAACAGCAAGTGTTTCTTTTGTTTTTGTAATTATGTGTTATTGATTATGCTATACAGTTATCCCAATTTTCCCTCTTTGCCTCCCTCCACCCAGCAGCCCCCATTCCTTCAAGCAATCCCCACACCTTTGTTCATGTCCACGGGTCATGCGTGTAAGTTCTTTGGCTACTCCATTTCCTATACTGTACTTTACATCCCCATGGCTACTCTGCAATTACCTGTTTGTACTTCTTAATCCCCTAACCTCTTCATCCATTTCCCTCACCGCCCCCTTCCCATCTGGCAATCATCACAAAGTTCTCTTTATCCATGATTCTATCTCTGTTCTTCTTGTTTGCTTAGTTTGTTTTTTTAGATTCCGTTGTTGATAAATATATTTTCTGCCATTTTATTGTTAATAGTTGTAATCTTTTTCTTAAAGAAATCCCTGTAACAGTTCATATAATAATGGTTTGGTGATAAGGAACTCCATTAGCTTTTTCTTGTCTGGGAAGCTCTTTATCTGCCCTTCCACTCTAAATGAGCACTTTGCTGGGTAGAGCAGTCTTGGCTGTAGGTCCTTGCTTTTCATGACTTTGGATATTTCTTGCCAATCCTTTCTAGCCTGCAAAGTTTCTTTTGAGAAATCAGCTGATAAGTCTTATTGGAACTCCCCTGTAGGTAACTAACTTTTTTTCTCTTGCTACTTTAAGATTCTCTCTGTCTTTAACATTCAGCATTTTAATTATGATGTGTCTTGGAGTGGGCCTCTTTGCATCCATCATAATTGTGGGACTCTCTGTGCTTCCTGGACCTCCATGCCTGTTTCCTTCACCAAATTAGGGAAGTTTTCTTTCACCATTTTTTCCACATAGATTTCCAATTTCTTGCTCTTTCTCTTCTCCTTGTGGCATCACTGTGATGTGAATGTTGGCACACTTGAAGTTGTTCCAGAGGCTGCTTATACTATCATTATTGTTTTGGATTCTTTCTTCTCGTTGTTCTGATTCATTGTTTTTTGCTTCCTTATATTCCAAATAATTGATTTGATTCTTGGCATCATGCCCTATACTGTTGTTTGCTCGTAAATTGTTCTTTATTTCAATTAGTGTATCCTTCATTTCTGACTGGATCTTTTTTATGCTATTGAGGTACTCACTAAGTTCCTTGAGCAAGTGTTTTGAACTCTGCATCTGGTAGATTGCTTATCTCCATTGTTTAGTTCTTTTTGTGGAGTTTTGATCTGTTCTTTCATTTGGGCCATGTTTCTTTGTTTTGTCATTTTGGCAGCCTCCCTGTGTTTGATTCTATGTGTTAGGTAGAACTGCTTTGACTCCGTGTCTTGGTAGCGTCGCCTAATATAGTAGGTGTCCTGTAGGGTTCAGTGGCACAGCCTTCCCTGTCACCCAAGCTGGGTACTCAAGGTTCATCCTTCATGTGGGCTGAGTATATCCTCCTCTTGTTGTTGAGACTAGGTTGACCTGCTGTTGGCAGGTCAATCGGAGGGATTTATCCAGGCCAGTCAGCTGCAAAGAGTGGCTCTGATCACAGACTACCAACCTCCACCCTCTGTAGAGGATTGGCTGTGCAGGGGCAGAGTGGTGGAGCTCCAACATGGTCTGTAGCTGTCCACTGGGTGCACATGGTCTGGGGTTTCCTGGGTGGTGCAGGCCAAGGTCAGCCCCCTACTGGTGTTCTGCCCAGGGCCACCCTGCATGAGCTATAGAGCATTCTGAGATGGCTGCTACTTGTGCTGGGCTTGGAGATTGCCTGGCAACACCAAACTGTGAATCTAGGAAGGCTGCTGCTAGTGTCAGGCCTGGGGGCCACTTAAGAGGTTTGGGGGGCTGGGGGTTGGGGGCTCACTGAGGCCAGCTGTTGCTTGTTTGATAGGATTTAGGAAGTTGTGAAGCATGAACCAAGACCAGCCATTCATATGGAAAAGTCATGGTTAACAGTTTGGATGGGCCTGTAAACTGGGTGGGAGGAGTCTCAGGGGATATCCAGTGTGGGGCAAACAGCGTTAGCCAGGTTGGAGTCTCAGATATGGCATCCTCCTGCTAGCTCTGTGGCTCTGTGGGTGAGTTAGAAAGGGGACAATGGCCTCTGCCCACCATTCTGTCTGGGAAAAGGTTGTCTCCCAGTCCCAGCTTGCCAGACCTTTCAGTTCCTCCTTCAATTCCTCCTATGTATAGTGCCTTTCAAGCTGAAAGCTGGGTGCTGGAGCACAGAGGGAGTGAATCTGAGTAAGTCCATGTGTGGGTTCTTTTTTTTTGTTCTTTTTTTTTTATTTTAATCTTTGTTCAAGTACAGTTTTCTCCCTTCTACTCCCATTCCAGCTCACCCACCCAACCCTCCCCACTTCCCTCCCATTACCACCCTCCCCCTAGTTTTTGTCCATGTGTCCTTTAAATTTGTTCCTGTAAACCCTACCCATTCTCCCCTGAAATCCCCTCTTCTCTCCCCTCTGGTCACTATCAGTCTGTCCTCTATTTCAGTGACTTTGGTTATATTTTGTTAGTTTCTTTGTCTTGTTGTTTAGGTTCCTGTTAAAGGTGAGATTATATGGTATTTGTCTTTCACTGCCTGGCTTATTTCGCTTAGCATAATGCTTTCCAGCTCCATCCAAGCTGTTGCAAAGGGCAGGAGCTCCTTCTTTCTTTCTGCTGCATAGAATTCCATTGTGTAAATGTACCATAGTTTTTTGATCCACTCATTTACT